TACGAAGGGGAAAGGGCCATGACCAAAGACAACAACCTGCTGGGCAAGTTCGAGCTGACTGGAATCCCGCCCGCTCCACGAGGGGTCCCGCAGATCGAGGTCACCTTCGACGTGGACGCCAACGGCATTTTGAACGTGTCTGCGGTGGACAAAAGCACCGGCAAAGAGAACAAGATCACCATCACCAACGATAAGGGCCGTCTCAGCAAAGAAGAGATCGAGAGGATGGTGCAGGACGCCGACAGATACAAAGCCGAGGACGACCTTCAGAGGGAGAAGATCGCTGCCAAGAACTCCCTGGAGTCCTACGCCTTCAACATGAAGAGCAGTGTGCAGGACGAGAACCTGAAGGGCAAAATCAGTGCGGAGGACCAGAAGAAGGTGGTTGAGAAGTGTGACGAGACCATCGGCTGGCTGGAGAACAACCAGCTGGCTGATAAAGAGGAGTACCAACACCAGCAGAAAGAGCTGGAGAAAGTGTGTAACCCCGTCATCAGCAAGTTGTATCAGGGAGGAATGCCCACCAGTAGCTGTAGAGAGCAGGCACGAGCCGGCTCCCAGGGGCCCACCATTGAGGAGGTGGACTAAAGTGGCCCTTCATATGGACTCTATGACTACTGGGACTATTTAACCTTCACCTGTAACTTCCTGCCCTGTGTTCATATGTTTGCTCCCTTTTTTTTAATATAATGAATACGTTGTAATTTTAATATAATGAATACGTTGTAAGATGCAAATCTTTTATGTTTTTGTTAGTTGGACTCTATGATCCTTATATTTTAGATTATGTCGGTGTATATATGATGTGACAACAATGAAGACATTTTGAGAAATGGTTCTTTAATATGTTTAAATGTTGCATTGCTGGACTTTGCAATAAAGATGATGGTGAATAAAGTTAAATGTGTCTCTTAGTTTCATCTTCATCATAAACTAAAGATTTATAACATTCACAATGAAACAGTGCAGCCACATTAAGATCAATATCAAAGTAAATATAAACTGCTACAGTTTAACATTTTAAAATTATGAAAGGTTTTAAAATGACTATAGGTAATTCAAACTTTACTGACATTATAAAATAAGATAAATTTATGCTCAAGTTAGGTAAATTATGAATATCTTGACTTGTTAATGTGATCAGATGTCAGAAATAAAGCAGTGCAGTTCACAGAAACAACCACTAGATGTCAAAATTTGACTTTTGGCATATTACCTCACTGCTTTCAGAG